TTGAAATAAGGATATAATCACACCATGGCTAATTGCTACTTGGTTTAAAACAGTTTTCTACATGATTGAAGTTCATAAGCAACAGCAACTGATTTATACTTTTGGCTATGTCTGTATTTGTACAATGTAAGAGACAAAGTTTAGAATTTGCAGGCATTGAAAAGAAACAGAAGAAACACAGAAACAAGCACTGTTACTGTACTCTTCACTGGATAAACTTCTCTGCTGAGATTAAAAATGTTATAATGGAATCTAGATTAGCCTAAGAAAATCCACTTTTTTTTTTTTTTTTTTAAGAAAAAATGACTGGCAATTCAGTTTGGCTGTCAGCAACACTGTTTGCTATGATATGGATCTGAACTGCTACAATGAATACTTAATTACTTGCTCATACTGAATGACAGCCCACAGCTTAAGTGAGGTGTTAGCCTAAAAGACAAGAGGTTAGAATTCTGGAAGGTGTCACAAATATCTTCACAAACTATTTCAAGTTTTCTCTCTTACAAATCAGTAGTTTACTTGTTTGATTTTAAATATAGCAAGTAAAATAAACATGTTAGCGTAACAGATACTGCCAGATACTAATGAACAGTCACTTCGACTAACATATTTAGACTCATTCACAGAGAGTTGTTGATTCTTCTTCTCCAGTTGGTACATTCTGACAGCAAATGAGACATTTCAATTTAATTAGCTTTGAGATCTATACTAATGCTGCTATTAGTTCTTCATTCAAAAATATTAAGTCTGTCTACAAAACGTTTACTAGAACTGAAGTAATTCCATGGATTACTGACTCAAGTTGATTTCTTCCAAATGCAGAGCGCAAAAAAACATTTATACTTAATCATCCCTTGCTTCCTACAGCAACTCTGATAATGTAACAATTCCTAACATAGAGAAAAAAGCTGAAAACTCAATAGCAGTTTCTAAGAAGAAACTCTGTTTTAGCCAAGGGACTGCAATTTTACAAAGGCTAAATACAAGAACTATCTCTAATAGCAAACAATCAGTCATGAAGGTCAAGGTAAAGCAGTCACCACCAGCACTGATTTGCCTCTTTCTTTTTATGTTCAAAACTGTTCTCCTACGTAACACTTCTTGGTCTTTAAGGATTGCTTTCTTTACAAGCCGGAGGAGAGCAAACAATGCCCAGAATTTTGTCTGAATCTGAAAAATGGCAAGTTTGCAGGGAAGGGGAATTCACATGAAAATTTACAGTTCTTAACAAGAATTTTTACAAATATTCCCAAACAAAGCTATACTTCGTCTACAGAAAGAAGGTAAGTCAGTCATGCCAACAGTCTTTCAGCCATGTTATTAAATCACGTTAAGGACACTGAATTACATCAAGGAACTCTTCCGATCTCAGTTTGTGGAACATGCTTTAATGGTGCAATACCTGCTTATAAGACCTACATACACTGGGATACTGCTACTTAGGACAGCTGTGACATCACAGGTTTTATAAAAACCTACTGGTGCAATACCTGCTTGTAAGACCTACATACACTGGGACACTGCTACTTAGGACAGCTGTGACATCACAGGTTTTATACAAACCCAGCAAACCAAAACAGCAATGGTGCCAAAGTACTCAGTTTCTTATATCTACATGACATCCTCTGCAACTAAACACTTTTGAACAAAATAATTAGAAGTTTAGATTCTAGGCTTAAAGACAACTAAAGTTAGGGTTACCTAATCAAGTTCTATTTAATAGCTTGGCATCTTAAACATCTGAGTTTGAAAGCTTAATTTTAAAATTTCCTGAGGATCACAACTTTTCACTTCTTAAGTAAGTTTCACTTCTTAAGTACTACTTCCTCATTATGACAGGGCTTTAGCACTTTCTTACCTCCATCAATTCTCACTTCACTGCACCATCTTGTTCAGTTTCCTATATACTGAGGTAACTGTGATTAGCTGATGAAGATTTGAGAACTAGTTTCTGACTCATGAATCTTTGTATTAGGAATACCATTTCCAAAAAGGAAATTTTTAACTGTTCCTCAAAATATGCAAGTCTGAATGGGTACTTTTTATAAAGTTAAGAGTATTCCTACATATTAATAAAAATGTTTAGTATTTCATTTGTAGAAAATAAAATTAATGTAAATAAAATTTAAAACACATTAGGTGACTAGTAAAGAGGACAGAAGTTTTAATAACACAATAATTACAGAAAAAATTCTGCTAAACATTATTGTCCACTCTCAGATGTATTTTATTCATTATTTTCTGTTATATATTTGTACTTCTTAAAATTTTATATTAAAATAATTGCATTTTGTTTTAAGTACAATCCAATTTACTAGATAAACATTAAGGTCAGTTTAAAACTTACTCATGTAAGGCAGCTTCTCTGGACATGCCTGGTAAGGAGAGTAAGTGAAGTTTTCTGGAAGATACATTGTTGTTTGAGCAACACAGTCACTAGAATTGTTTCCTTCAGGATAATCTTAAAAAGAGGAATTGATTTTTGTAAAAACCTATGTTATCGACTGAATTTGCAACATATCATCATGCAGGTGAGAGCATTAACTTTCTAAGTAACAAATTCCTAGCAGCATGATTAAAAAAAAATTTACTGCATTAAAGAAACAATAATTAAATTAAGATATCTTTGTTACAGCTATGACAAATACTTCCTACTAAAGTAAACTGAAAACCAGTAATTATTTGGCCTTCACTCCAGTTACAGAGAAGTAGGACTTGGGTCTCGGTTTTCATAATCAAGCTATGTCATTAAGGTCTGGCATGTTTGGTTTTTTTTTTTCATAAAGCTCTTTTAAAAATGAAATTAAATAAGAAATATTCTTACCTGTGCCATTCAGCGTAGTATTTTTGTTAGTGTACAGTCTGATCATGTGTCCTATTGTTTTTACATTTTCTCTCAACATTATACCACGAGCTTGCACCATAAAGAGATACGTGTTTGCTGATAAAACAAAAAGCAATTTTGAATTTGAATTAAAATAAGGTATTTCCAAATTACTCTAACATCCATTGATAATGTGTTCAATGTTTGTTACTATGTCTGAATCCATGGCTAATGAACATTACTCCTTCAAGATGAAGATCCACAAAGCGTGAAACCTAACAGCAACAAAAGAATAAAATGGATTCACAACCACAGGTCTACATAAAACCCCCAAATTATAAAATGTCAATACACACTTTACATGACACTTTAATTTCTCTTTAACTTACAAAAAGCAACTGACAGTGCCAAGAAACAACTGAATTTACCAATAAAAAGGTTTTCATACGTAGATACACCTCATATATGCATTTACATATACATCATAGAAATATAGGACAAAAAATATCTAGAAAATCTTTTAGTCCCATAGAATAGTCCCCCTATTTACTCTTTAGTCAACACAACTTTCAGTCAAAATGTACTGCTGCTATTCATCACCCTCAACAGCTGTTTCGTTATACAACTGCTACAAATCACTGCCAATCTCGAAGTATTAATATTTGATAATTATATGTGAAATATTTATTATAGGCATCAAAGGTGAGTAAAACAACATTCTGAGTAATTAAGCAACTCACTAATAATAACAGCATGAAATATTCCTCTGTCTCAGCCTTGCACTCAAAGCCCCAAATCTGATCTCAAGACAATTCTTTGTCCTAAACAGAAGAGAGTAAGTTAAGTTGGAAAAGAAGCTGCATTTATGCCTCAGTAAGCAAATGTCTATCCAGAACTCACAGACCTCAAAAAATAATGTAAAAGGAAGGATAATTCCCTTTGCAGAACAGTTTTTACTCTGGGTAGCAAAGAGGATCAAAGTGATGATCTGTCACTGCACCTATGTTGAGCAGCCATTTGTCTGGCAGATATTTGGCTCACTGTAACTAGTAACCACCCTAACCAAAAAAATGCTCTGCAACTTTGGAGGAAAGAACAAAACATACCAGAAAAACAACAGATTAATCTTAATCTGGCCTAAAGAGATTGAGGAAAATTAGAAAATTGCCTCCACTTCATCAGATGACCCAGCACCAGCAGTGTGACACAAATAACTCCAAATCAGTTGATGTCTTCTTACAGCCCAACACAAAGAGACTAGAGCTACAGAAAACTGTTAATAAAGGACTGGGGCATTTCCAGAGGCAAATGCAGTGACTAATTCCACCACATTAGCAAACAATACTACCAACACCCCCAGAGATATAAATACCAACATAATCTTTTAAGGAACATTATTTGCAAACTGTACAATAATGTTTTTCTTTTTAAAAGAATGAAGCGGGGGAGCGCTCCTGGCTTTCAAAGAACTCCTTATTAAAAACAAGAAATATTATCCCTGAAAAGTCAGGCTCTGAACATGTCATGTGCTATGCATGGTGCGTTATTCTCAAACTCTTGGCCAGCATGACTAGCTGTTTTGGTTAACATGAGTTTACATGTATGTAAAAGTTACTCAGCTGCTAGGATCCTGAAGTTGTCTCAACACCCCCCCCGCCCCCTGGCCACTAAAACAGAAAGAAAACAAACCAGAAAAACCTACAACCTTGGCCTGATGACAGAGGTAGTAAATTGAACAAGAATGATTCTTACTGGGATCCAAGACAACTGGATCCAAGGCAACAAGATAACATTGAGATTTCATTACAGAAAACTTGCACCAAAACTTGTCAAAATTTTAACCTAATTCACTGTAAAGTAGCACTTTGGGGGTCCAATTATTTTCTTATGTTTGTAGTTTGCCATTCAAATTCTGGTTTTTAGGGTGTCTGTATTAAACACTTCAGGGAATCTGTACAATTCTTGAGTTCATATATGAAGTTACCTACTCAAGAAACCTTCTCCTTTAGGAATCAACATAAAAGCAATTTGATCTGTTCCTCCAAGAACAATTATTTACCTTCAGACAAACAATTTCAAAATTCAAGGCTTCCCTGAAAGTAAAACTAAATGGATTTTTACTTTCAAATAGAACAAAATTTTCCTGATTAACAAGGTATGACTTTCTCCAAACTTGAACATATTTCAAATTGGTATCCTCCCTTCTCTTTTCCCCACATATTACTGTACAGCTCCTCTCTTCAGTATCTACCTATTCCAACACTAAAATAAAGTTCTTTTTTAATATAAATCAGTTAGTAAATACTGATTTCAGAGATAACCTCTGAAAGACTGTGTGCTATATTCTCCTTTTTAATGTGATACCAAAAGCCAAATTCACTTGATTTTTTACCACTGCAGAACAGCAGCTTTATAGAAACATAATCTTAATTCACATATATCAGGTGTGGTGGGTTGACCCAGCTGGCAGCTAAGCCTCCACCCAGCTGCTTGCTCACTGCGCTGCAGTGGGATGGGGGAAAGAACCAAAAGTGATGAAAAACAACAACAAAAAAAACCCCCTCCAACCAAACTCACCACCAGGAGACAGATGCCCTGCCAGTCCCCAAGCAACAGCTACTTTGGGGGAAAAAAACGCACCAGTTTTATTGCTGAGCATGACATTACTTGGCATGGAATATCTCTTTGGTCACCACAGGTCAGCTCTGCCAGATGTGTCCCCTCCCAATCTCTTGCCCACCCCTAGCCTACTCACTGTGGGGGACAGAGTGGAAAATGGAAAAGCCTTGATGCTGTGCAAGCACTGTTCAGCAATAGCTAAAACGATGTGTTTATCAACACTGTTTTGGTCACAAATCCAAAGCATGTGTCTCCAGAGACCTATGCTTAGACCTCTTTCTGATAGCCCATAAATCATTTCATTAGCTGCTTCTTGTTCCTTTTTCATCATTAACACTACAAGCCCCTATCCTCAAACTTCCTAAGAATGATACCACCTTTCTTAATGAGAAAGATCAGTGCTTTTTCTTCTACTTGGTGTTCACCAGCCTTAGGAATTTCTTTCTGGTTATTACCAAATCACATTGATTGCAAACACTTCAGCTGTTAGACTGAGAGATGTCACTTACACAGTGACAGAAATTTGGACACTGTGCAGCCAGTGAGCATACTCTCCAGCACTGCTCCTGATGCAGTTGAGATGAAAGATTTGCCCCAGAACTCACTGCAAAGAGTATTAGAAAAATCTACTCAAACATGTTACTGTTACAGTCTTAGGAACCTGATACAGTACACAACTGAGACTAAGACCTTCAAACAAGTCCACAAGAAAGTCAAGAGGGCCATATAACTGTTCTCAATTCCTATGGGAAACTTTACTGTAGCCTGAATAACACAGACATAAATCTTGATAAAACAGATTTTCTGCAAAAGCAGTTGCATCTCCCCTTAGTTGAAGGACAACTTCCTTCTTCTGACACAGACGAGAAAAAAACAAATACACCAGACCTTTGTGAGAGACAAAGCTAGAAAGTACATTTCTCTCAAAAACAGGCATCATGAAAAGGGAGAATTAAAAAAAACAACCTGGCAAAGTCTGCTGCCACCTTGGCCTAAGTATTCAAGAGCTGGTCTTGTTAACAGGAAGATCTAGCTTTGCCATGTTTTCAAGCTATTCTTGTAGTCTACCCCAACCCAACACATCCTCTTCAAAGATCTGCTTGGAAGAGTCCCATGGGATAAGGCCCTCGAGAGAAGAGGTGGGGCAAGAAAGCTGAGTAATATTCAAGGATCACCTCCTGCAAGCTCAAGACAGCTCTATCCCAATGAATATGAAGTCAGGCAAAAATGCCAGGAGGCCTGCATGGATGAACAAGGAGCTCCTGGAAAAAAATCAAACACAAAAAGGAAACATACAGAAGGTGGAAGCAAGGACAGATAATGTAGGAGGAATACAGAAACAATGTCTGACCATCCAGGGATGCTAAAGCCCAAATGGAATTGAATCTGGCCAGGGATGTCAAAGACAACAAGAAGGGTTTCTATAAGTACACAGTCAGTGGCTGTGTGGGGCTTAGTTGCTGGCTAGGGTTAAACCATGACAGTCCTTTTTGGTGTCCAACGTGGGGCACGAAGGGTTGAGATAATGACAGATCTGACCAGAGCACGTTAAAACAAATTTGTGATAAGCATTCATTATATTAAATAGTCATTGGTCACAATGTTGATTCACTTGTTCTCAAGAGTTGTGCTACGTAACACCTTACTTGCCGTATGCACTCCCTGTGGTGCCGTTTAATGCCTCTGGGACTTGCATTAAAGTTATCACTTTGCGGTACTGTGCTGGAAACATATCCCGTGCCCCATGCCACTGCCTTGGAACTCTATCCTGGGCCTTGAAAAGCAAGTCTTATGGTGACATGGCACCCCAGAAAGAATTGAGTCAGACAACAGGACTCACTTCTGAAACAACCTCATAGACACCTGGGCCAAAGAGCATGGCATTCAACAGGTATATCACATCCTTTACCATGCACCAGCCTCAAGGAAAATTGAACAATACAATGGACTGTTAGAGACTACCCTGAGAGCAATGGGTGGTGGGACATTCAAACATTGGGATACACATTTATCAAAAGCCACCTGGTTAGTTAACACTAGGGGATCTCTGCCAATCAAGCTGGCCCAGCCCAGTCAAACCTTTTACGTACTGTAGAAGGTGATAAAGTCCCTGCAGTGCAGATAAAAAATATGCTGGGTAAGACAGTCTGGGTTACTCCTGCCTCAGGCAAAGGCAAACCTATTGGTAGCACTGCTTTTGCTCAAGTACCTGGGTGCACTTGGTGGGTAATACGAAAGGATGGGGAATTCCAATGTGTACCTCAAGGCGATTTGATTTTGGGTGAAAATAGCCAGTGATTTGAATTGTATGTTAATTGCTGTATAATACTGTATGTCATCACTACTGTGGTCACTATATGCCATTATCAACAGTATTACAGTAAGAATCACCCAGATTAATGAAGAATGAATTTTGATGAAAACTGAGCAAAGTGCAGTGGTGATAGAACCAGAACTGGCTTCAGCACGCAACAATCCAACACCACACACCATCTCTCCTGCCCTGAAAGACTGTTATGACAGATGGAGCCTAAAGTCATGGACTAAATGAACTCAACAGACATTTTAGAGGGACAGCCCATAGACTAAGGGAATGATATCTGCGTGTGTATATCAAAAGACAGGGAAGGTGGTGGTGATTAATTGGAAAGTATTGGAAAGTGTGGGACCTGGGCATGACACAGATGGTATCGAGTAAGGGGTGGATATTGTCCTGGTTTCAGCTGAGATAGCGTTAATTTTCTTCCTAGTAGCTTTTGGATTTAGTATGAGAATAATGTTGATAACACACTGATGTTTTAGTTGTTGTTAAGCAGTGCTTACACTAGGTCAAGGACTTTTCAGCTTCTCATGCTCTACTGAGAGGGCTGCAGATGCACAAGAGGGTAGCCACAACTGCCAGCAGAAGCTGCATCCATTGAGATAAGAAAAGGAATGGCCTGCCTGGAAACAGAGAAAGGACCCAAAAAGGAACAAGTAGACCCCAAACCAAATATTGCTATTGGACCAAACTGCCGCCACGTGGGGAGGGGAACTTAAATTTTAAGGGTATGATTGCCCAGGGATTTGTTTGTTTGGAGTCCCTCTCCGGAGGCACCAACTTGATAAACTTCTATGATGAAATGATCAGCCTGGTAGGTGAGGAGATAGCAGTGGATACTGCCTTTCACACTGTATCCCATAAGATCGTCATAGACAAGCTGCTGATGTACAGGCTGGATGAGAAAACAGTGAGGCTGGTCAAAAACTGACTGACTGACCAGGCCCAGAGGGTGAGGATCAGTGGCACAAAGTCTAGTTGGAGGCCAGTGACTAACAGCATGCCCCAGGGGTCAATCCTGGATCCAGTCCTGTTTAACATTTCATTAGTCATCTGGACGATGGCGCAGAGTATACGCTCGGGAAGTCTGCTTATGACACAAAACTGGGGTAAGTAGCTGATACGCCAGAGGGCTGTGCTGCCATCCTGAGGGACCTCAACAGGCTGGAGAAATGGGCTGACAGGAACCTCATGAAATTCAACAAGGAGGAGTGCAAAGTCCTGCACCTGGGGAATAACAACTCCATGCACCAATGTAAGCTGGGGGCCACCCAGGTGGAAGGCAGCTTAGCCCCCTTGGAGGTCCTAGTTGACACCAAGTTGAATGTGAGCCAGCAATGTGCCCCTGCTGCAAAGAAGGCCAGTGGCATCCTAGGCTGCATTAGGAGGAATGTTGCCAGCAGGTGGGGTGATCCTTTTCCTCTACTCAGTACCAGTGAGGCCACACCTGGAGTACTGTGTCCAGCTCCGGGCTCCTCAGTAGAAAAGACATGGGCATACTGGAGAGAGTCCAACAAAGGGCCATAAAGATGACAAAGGGATGGGAGCATCTCTCCTATGAAGAAAGGCTGAGAGAGCTGGGACTGTTGAACCTGGAGAAGGCTCGGGGGATCATATTAGTGTATATAAAGGGTGAGTGTACATGTATATAATGTATATGAAGGGAGGATGACAAGAGGACAGAGCCAGGCTCCTTTCAGTGGTGCCCAGTGAGAGGACAAGAGGCAATGGGCATAAACTGAAACACAGGAAGTTCCACCTGAACATCAGGAAACACTTCTTTACTGTCAGGGTGACTGAGCACTGGCACAGGTTGCCCACGGAGGTTGTAGAGCCTCTATCTTCAGAGATACTCAAAAGTCGTCTGTACACAGGACTGGGCAACTGGCTCCAGGTGGCACTGCTTGAGCAGGGTGGATGGACCAGATGACCTCCAGAGGTCCTGTCTAATCTCAACTATTCTGTGATTCTGTGATTTTCTTCCACTACTGTCTGTCTTTCTGCGTTTGTACCATCACTCCTGTCACAGTGCAAGGCAATGCACAAACCAGGAAGGCAAAATTTCACATTTAACCAAAGAAAACCTCTAAAAATGCAACCACCTAGAACTAGTTTTATTCATATTCTCCTTATTTCACTGTACGTGTTCCACAGTAAGTAAGAAAGAGCACTTCTGATTCAAGAAACATACAGAATCCAGGCTGTCACACAGTGTACAAGGTAAGCAAATGAGAAATGCAGTGCAGGATATAAAACAACATACTCATATAGTACACCCTGGAATAAATACCGTACTAAATGTTCCAGGTAAGGCAACTGCAGTGTGAGCATGAGCTCATATGTAATTCAGATTAAATTTTCACTAGCAATTGATCCAGATCTGTATCAGCAATCATGGACAAATAGCTCCAAGTCAGTCATCAAAAGTCCTGCTTTCAGGGCATTATTTAAAACTCATTCTGATAAAGCACATTAGGGCATTAAAGGGATCATCCCGTATTTCAGAGGAGATGTTAAAAATATCAGATGGATCATTTTTTGTCTCCAGTTTTTACAGCTCACTAGTTATTAATAGTTTTATATGTTAGGCTGGGGAAAAAAAAAAAGCACTGGTGGTGGGGGATGCATTAATTCTTAAAATATAAAAATATCTGTAAAAATGGCTCAATGTTTCACCTCAGGTAGCTTCCTGTTATTTAAATATTCACCTGAGGACTATATACATCTTTTTTAAAGAAAAAGGTCCCATTTACAGATCACTCTCCATTAGGGAATCAAGCTCCTTCCAAGCAGTACACCAAAAATTAACGCATATCTCACAACACTGCGTTAGTTTATCATCCCTTAGCTTCACAGAAAAAACACAAAACTCAATTTTATATAGAAACTTAGTAATTTATCATGCTGTACGCATACACCAAAGCAAAGCCAAAACAAGGTGCCATGCGCTTAGAAGCAATCAACATAGTAAAGTATACAACAGAACAACTGAATTTAAAACTGGATCAATGACTGGCATTCTGCAGAACAGTAAGAAGTTAAAACTGTGGTTATTTTAACAAGATACTCTGAAAAGCATTAATGAGATTACAAACGATGCTTTCTTAAATGCCAAAGAAGAAAAGATGAACAGACTTGGAGACCACAAATTTTATTTAAAAACGTAGTTTTTTCACACACACAAAGACAAAAACACACAAGGAAAAAGCCTTACATCAAGAATGCTTTCAAAGCAATTAGCAAAAAAAGTTAATACCACCATACTTCGCAAGTGAGAAGATCATCATCAGAGCAGCTCTAGCAACATTATACACTGCTCTTCTGGAAAAAAAAATACTGAAAAGCTCAGATAAGAGATACTTCATAAAGAATCCAGGGACACCGCAAAATTCAAATGCAATAAACACAGCTTTACAGAAAATAGGTCTTGCCAAATGGCCATTGCCCCTAAAGTTACTCATCTGCTAGTCAACACCTTTTTTCACAAGGCTTCTGAAAAGCACGTTCAACACGCTGCATAAAAATCAACATGGATTCAAATGGGTTAACAGAAAGTTCTCCACTAGTAATTGTAAATGGGGAACCATCTCATGGGGACATTTCTAGAACAAGTCCCACATGGACCTCTTCTCATCTCAAGGTTGTATGATATTATTCTCAGCTTTATGAGAGTTATAAATACACTATTGGCAGAGTTCATGCATGGCAAATTAACACAAAAGTGTTAAAGATTAAATTCTACAAACTAATCTAAATATACAGTAAGTAGAGCTCAGCTGAAGATTGCTTCTAAAACATCACAGTCATGATTTCAGGAACTAGGAATATTTTCCACAGCTACAGGATAGAGACTTTAGTCTGTAAAACAGATTCATTAAACAATTTTGCAGCGAAGGACAATACCCAAAGTAATGTAAGACTACTATAAATGGGTTCCTACTCACAAACTGAAATCTACAGAGAACAAATAAATTCTACAGTAAGTGTTCAAATTCCAGAGGATTTTATTGTTACACATTTATTGTTAATCAGAAGTTGTTTCTAAAACATATGCAACAACCAGAAAAAAGCAAAAAATTGTACGCCTTGAAACATATTTTTCACTTGATTTGTTGTTGAATGTTTAATACCAGTTTTGCACTATTTGTAACTTAACAACAAATCCAAACTTATTTCATGGGTATGGTGAGACTGCATTTGGGTCTGCATATGTATACCTCCTTATATGGAAAATATACTAGAAAGATAATCACCTCAATCTACTGAAAATACCAACAACTACAGGTATTTCTGGAGGTTAATAGGGATCATTCATATGGTACAGATGGATGAATCTGTATCAGCTACAACACGGAGTCTTCAAAATTGTTTTTAGTGGTGGTATTTTCCAATACTCCAGACAATGTATACTC